CGCCCTCTGGGCTCTGGGTGTCCCAAAAAAGGCATCCTCACGTTTCCCTAAGGCCAGTCCTCACAGCGAAAGGAGCAGGGATGTACCGTCTCCTCTTCTTTTCGTATCCTTTCTGTCCCATTGTGTCTGAGCTGGCTGTGCTTGTCATTACGGTTCTTCCTAAAAGTGTGTGGTTTCTTATGAAGTTCATTCTTGTTCATTACAAAGCTGAAGACGCAGCTCAGACTTCGCGGGACAGGCGTCTTCTGGCGGAGCTCCCTGACAGGCTGCTGGGAATGTTAGCAGCTCTGCTGTGCGACCAGAGGGCCTAGGCCCCACTGGGGGTGGGGGGGGGGCGTGGGAACCAGCTCCCGCGCGCTCACTGTGGCGTCTTCGCTGAATGTGTCCGTTGTGCTTGCTTCCTGGTTCACATTGCTGTGTCACCTGTGAGATTTGTTCTTTGCATCAAGAACTTCAGTATTTTGGAATTTTCTGCTAGAAGAGACCGCAGATAAGCAATAGTTTTATTGTTGAATTCAACAAATCATGGCTTCTATGTATTTTCTTAGAAATGTAAAACAAGAGTCCTTGTTCAGTCTGAGTCCTCTCTCATCGCCGCTTCCATTCTCCACAGCGACGAGGACACAGGGCGCCTCCATGTTCTCCTGGTACTTTCTGAGCCAGACCCGCCAGTGTGTTACGTAGACTTTCTAATTTCCATGTTTCTGCTGGTGGTAGCTTTGCTACATAACAGGGGTGCCCGTTCCTCTGGCTTCTGATCGTGTTTTCCTCGCTCTCCTCTGAACGCCCACAGCCTGTCTCCTTGGGGCCCACTTTGCTTCCACTAAGTTTCTTTAAGGTCCTTCTGGGTTCCTCCTGCGACACGGCCCAAAGCCAATTCCACAGGCTTCGTATGTTCTCTATCGCGCCCTCTACTTCCAGGTGTCATATGCTGTTCAAGCTACTATTACTGCAGGACAAACGTCCCAAACTTGCTGTTGTAAACAGAATTTTTTTTAGATCTTAAGTATTCTGCATGTCAGAAGTTTGGTCAGGGCTTGGCTTGGTGATTCTTTTAATGAACTGAGGTCAGTAGATGGTTCTCGCTGGCTGACGGGCCGATCCTCACATGCCCAGCTTTACTCGCATGCCCAGCGAGTCATCGGCGGCAGGAGGGCTGGAGTCCTCGGGGACTGTGGCCAGCACAGCTGACCACCCGTAGTTTTCCAGCATGGTGGTCTCAGGGCTGCTGTTTTTTCCAAGGCAGCTGGCTTCTCCTTGGTGGTTTTAAGTGGGAGGTGATTCTGTCTCCTAAGGGATACTTGGCAACATCTGGATATATTTTTGGTTGTCATAATAGGAGATAGAATGCTTTTGGCATCTAATGGGTAGAGGTAAGGATGCTATTAACATTCTGCAAAGCATAGGACAGCCCCCACGACAAAGAAAGATGTGGCCCAAAATGCCACTCCCATCCGCTCTTCCATCACGCCTCTGCGGGGCCCAGGCTGAAAGCCCTTCCCACGGCCAGCCTCCCGGCCAGGCAGCAGCTTCGTGGCCATGTCTGACCTGGCTGGGCGTGCAGCACCAGACTCAGACCAGCTTTTGAGAGTGGGTTACCTCCCTGCTTAGGGAGCGGGCAGAGTCACCCCTGGAGCAGCATGTGGGCTGGGAAATGTGGTCACAGCGCCTGTGGACAGTACACCCCGCGGCACGGCCCTGCAGGGATGTGTGGACGACCACGGTCCGTGCAACGAGGCGGGGCAGTGCGTTCGGGGCGAGCCACGTCTGTCCCTTCCGGTTACGGGGTAAAGTGGGGCTTTCTGAAAACATGGCAGAAAACAATTTTTAAAAGTGATACATTAAATCTGAAAGGATAGTGTTTTGAAAAGTTCAATTGGAGGTAGATGCCAGCTACTAGGGATCAGGAAAGCGTGGCCTTTGGGCGAAATCAGCCTGCCACTTGGTTTGTAAGTGAAGTATATCGGAGCCCAGCCACGCTCACTGAGCAACTGACCACAGAGAGCAGGTGGCCCCGGAGGCTAAACTGTTTACTGTCTGGCTCTTTATAGGAAAGTTTCCTGACCCTTAGGCTACTTCATTAATGTATTTGTTTATTCAACAAGTACTTGTTAAGTGCATGCTACATGCCAGACATTGCATCAGATGCTGGATATGTTATGCTAAACAAAAACAAGCAAAACAGACGTAATTTCTATCATAGCGGGCGGTGATGGAAACTGCAGTGTTTGAGGGCTGTACAGACGGATCAGGGAGGGGTTTCCCAGAGGGGATGCCTCGTCAGCTACCGGTGAGACCTGCCACACGAGGAAGAGCCACGCAGGGGTGAGAAGGATAGAGATAGGAATTACCAGGGAGTGGGGTGCACACGCAGTTCCTGAGGCAGGGAAGACCTTGGCTTGAGGGTGGGTGGAAGGCGGCAGGCCAGTGAGGTGCGGTGAGCAAGGTGGGAGGGTGGATGGAGGAGGCTGAAAGGCAGGCATTGGCCAGATCCGGGGGAGTCTTCTAGCCTTTGAGAAACAGATGCTTATTAATATGAGTTTAACAAGAAACCACTGGAGAATTTTAAGGAATGTGAAATAAAACAGTTTTCAGTGAAAAAAAAAACTAATAACAGGTCAGGACATGAGCCCAGAGAAAGAATATGACCAGCTCAGTGACTTCCCAGAGTCTCCCTCAGCACGAGAGCGGGGAAACCAGGCCCGCAGCCTGGCGTGCCCACTGCAGAGCCTGTACCGGACCCGCAGCCTGGTGTGCCCACTGCAGAGCCTGCACCGGACCCGCAGCCTGGTGTGCCCACTGCAGAGCCTGCACCGGACCCGCAGCCTGGTGTGCCCACTGCAGAGCCTGCACCGGTCCCGCAGCCTGGTGTGCCCACTGCAGAGCCTGCACCGGACCCGCAGCCTGGTGTGCCCACTGCAGAGCCTGCACCGGACCCACAGCCCTGCATGCCCACTGCAGAGCCTGCACCGGACCCGCAGCCTGGTGTGCCCACTGCAGAGCCTGCACCGGACCCACAGCCTGGTGTGCCCACTGCAGAGCCTCCACCGGACCCGCAGCCTGGTGTGCCCACTGCAGAGCCTGCACCGGACCCACAGCCCTGCATGCCCACTGCAGAGCCTGCACCGGACCCGCAGCCTGGTGTGCCCACTGCAGAGCCTGCACCGGACCCGCAGCCTGGTGTGCCCACTGCAGAGCCTGCACCGGACCCACAGCCTGGTGTGCCCACTGCAGAGCCTCCACCGGACCCACAGCCTGGTGTGCCCACTGCAGAGCCTGCACCGGACCCGCAGCCTGGCGTGCCCACTGCAGAGCCTGCACCGGACCCACAGCCCTGCATGCCCACTGCAGAGCCTGCACCGACCTGCAGCCTGGTGTGCCCACTGCAGACCCTGCCTCAGCTGGAACTTGCAGTTTAT